ATTTATGTTAAAGTATGTCACACAGTGTATACAAACGATGGACAACGCGTGTACTCATAAAGCGATGCATGTAATCCTGGTCTCCAGATAAATCACCCTCTTGTATTTACGTGCAAGTTTCATGCTGTGGTGTCGGTAACCACGCGCCTGTCTGCAGTGACGGGGCCACAAAAATAGAAGTGGGTTTAATTAGCAGTTTGGTCTTGCACGCTGAGCGCAGGCTGTCACCTTAATACATGACATTAATTTCCAGGGCTGGAGGGGTTTCTGTGTCCTTCAGCAGACAGACAGTCATTAAAAGAGTGTGAAGCATGTGTGAGCTTAAACTGCAAACATTTGGAGACCAAACGTTTTACAGCCACCGCGTTCAGTCAACACACACCATCAGCAGACAGGGAGGTCGTTAAAAGTCACACAAAGTGGTCCCAACCTTCGCTGAATCGGTGATGTTGTCCCAGTACGGACTGGGGAAGTCCAGCCGCCCGAGAAGAATCTGGTCAAACAGGTCCTCTTGCAGGTTGTTCTCACTGCATCGAAAGACAAACAGGCAGAGGCTCAGCAAGCATTCAGAATGTATTACTCAGCGCAGATGTGAACGCTGTAAAAAAAACTGCCTACTTAACAACCTCACCTGCAACTTTACCTTTTGTTTTGTGGCTACTGTAACAACAATCACGTGCTTTAGGTTAAATATGAGGGAAATTAATCTAAGCCAACTATTCATCACTTATGTAGCACGTATGTTTCCACATAACTGACATGTATGAAAATCACATTGTCAAATAATGTGGCTGAAATCTTTCTAGTGTAAATCCACAGCTGGCACATAACTCAACATTGTATTAATGGTTTAAACTTCTATGACACTGCACATGAGCAGATAACGCTGAGGTGGCTGACAGCTTTAACTGTGAGTTTTATTGAACAATATAAACTGAGCACCTTCTAAATGGAGGGAAGCCACACAGAAGGATGTAGGTGATGACACCCGCAGCCCAGATATCCACCTTCAGACCATAACTGTGGAAAGAGAGGAGACGGAAAAGGTCAGCGAAGGATGAAGCAAAATAATATACGACAAACTGTTTCCATCATCAATCATCCGCTGGACGTAAAATAACATTTTGACATCTGACAAATGATGAGACAATTCTACTAAAATCATAGAGGAACCACTTCTGCCGTCACACACACCTAGCTGGTGTTGCTTTATTGAATATGTCAGTGTTATTTTTAATGTCTGTTACACACATTGTATTGAAACCAACTCACAGGAACACCATACATTCCCCAGTACTCTACGAACACCACATTCTGCCCAGACATCCATCTTACCCAGACTCAGAAATGATTTCCGGAGCCACGTAGGTAGGAGTTCCACAGACAGTATATAAGGGTCCCTCCACCACTGTGGCCAGGCCAAAGTCCCCAAGTTTCAGCGACTTGATGCCATCTGGATACTCAAACACCTAAAAAAAAATACTGAGTTGAAACTCACAGAGCATATGGATTTGTAGAGTTAAAAAGAAAGAAAGTGTCAATACATACCAGCAGGTTCTCTGGTTTGATGTCTCTGTGCACGATGCTCATGCTGTGCAGGTACTTCAAGGCTCCGGCGAGGTTGTACACCATGATGCTAGCGTCTCTCTCCGTGTACTTGGCCGACGACGTGATGGCATCGAATAAATCCCCACCCTGCGAAGACATCAACACACGTCAAAAAAACACACAGAAATGAGAAGCATGAACTGATATGAACCCCCACTCAGCCTCTACCGCACCTTGACGAGCTCCATCACCAGGTACAGATCAGACGGAGTGTCCACCTCCTCAATCAACATGATGATGTTGGGGTGCTTCACCCTCCGCAGCACGGCAACTTCATTCTCTATTAGGTGCTCCTGGAAACACGCAAATATTCAGAGTAAGTTGGTGAATGTGCCAGAACACGGTACTTACGCTCACCCATTATGCTAATAGAAAGGCGCCGTATTGTTGATTAGATTTGAATTGGTGTCAAGGGTGTGCGATTCAGTGTGTGCCATTGTCTGCAATGTGAAAGTGTGAAGATAATTTGAGTCAGCGGATGAATAAAACATGACCAACCTAATCTGTCTGTGAGGATCCGAGACACGCAGGTGATACCGCGCCGTATGTGGGTGTTAATAATGCACGGTGGAACGCTAACATACAAGCCTTCCTAACTTTGTAATACATATGTGCACAGAAGTAGCAGAAGGAAACAGTGAGGGAAAAAAACAAAAAAACGTGTTAAACCTTTCCACGGCACTTGGCCTTGTCGATGATCTTCAGCGCAAACTCTTTCCCTGTGGACCTGAAACAGAAACAGTGCAATTAGGGACGACAATAAAGACAGCACTGACTCTGCAACAATGTCTGTAATTTAAATCAAGTGTTCACCGGAGAGCCTCAGTGTGCAGGAGCTCAGCCAGAGTTATTGCAAAAGGCTGCTGGCTGAACAATCAGACTTTATACGGAGTTTGAGCGGAGACAGGTCGGCTCAGCAAGAATTGGAGAACACACACACGTAACATGAGGCTGGAGAGTCGTGTTTCCTTTTCATTACTGGTTGAAAGAGTCGAGTCTTTGGCAAATGTGACCGCACCCAACAGCGTGAGCACAGCCAACAGTCACACTGTAGCAGGGTGTGAAATCAAACCACTGAAGCTCTGCAACAAACATTTTCATTGGGTCATCGTGTCAAAATACTGTTTGTATCTCATTTTTATTTCCACAAACGTGAGGACACACACTCCTACCTATAGTCTCACGTTTTCACTGACAGAAATGCAACAATGCAACAGGGAAGAACTGGGAAGAAGACTCCAGGTTGGTGTAAGCTGGTTTAACAAAACCAAGCAAGTTTGAGTTTTTTTTACCAAATCTGAGCATTTGGTGTACAGTTGTCCTCAGATGTATTCATACCCTCCCATTAAAGAAGGAAAACCACAGCTGTCACTGGAATAAGTTAAAATTGACAAAAGTAATAATAAATAAAAAATTTATGAAAATTCTGACATTGCTGTTGAATATATATATATAACAGATATATTTACAAAACAAAACAAAACAAAAACAAGCATGATTGGACCTGTAAACTAATATTTTGTTGAACAACCCTTTCAGTCAATCACTGCCTCAATCAGACTTCTGCACCTGTTGACAGGTATTCTGATTTTGGCCCACTGCTCATCAGCAAAGTGCTCTAATTTGTCCAGAACAGCTTCCTTTTTTAAATTATTCTTTTCAACCACAATTCAAAAGCAATCTCTTATTTCACTAAATTACAATTTAGCAAATTTTTATTTATTATTACTTTTTTCAGTTTCTAGTTATTTGAGTGATTATTGTGAATTTGGCCTTTTCTTTAATGAAAGGGTTTGAATATATTTGAGGATGACTGTAACTGTTGGCCTTTGGGAACAGTCGTGGTCTCCATTCAGGACCTTTAAGCTCAGATAATTGTGTTGGCTTTGTCAACATTTCATCACATTTGCTGGGCTTTAAGGATAAATACAATGTGTTTTGCTAAGAAAGTAAACAGCAGTGTTTGTTTACAAGAGCCTGCACAGAGCACCTTTAGGTACTATAAGGTGCACCGGAGGAGAGCGCACACATTTGGGAGTCTTCTCCTCATCATCATTTCCCCCGTCTGCACGAGCAGCGTGTTGACTCAGAGATTAAAAAGGCTAATGAAGTGAAATCACTGCTGGGTTTAATCCATGAGATATTTCCGTCTCCATGATGCCTGTCATCAGGACTTAAACCCCCTGATTGGAAAGTGACCACATGTGATGCGCACACAGGCGGTAACAAGAGACACCGCTGTGCATTAAGTGCTTACTGCCAACTGTGTATTAAGCATTTCCAGTCTGACTGAATGTGCTGCACCTACCTCTCCACGCACTCCTTGACCACTGCGAAGTTACCGTCTCCGATGACCTTGCCGATCTTGTATTTCTCCAAGATGCTCGAGGCAGGCGAGTATCTGTTCCCGTTAACTTCTGAGGAGAGACGCAGGACATTTCAGCGGACAGGTCTTGCGGTTTAATAAAACAAGGCTTTGGCAGAAACTCAAACCGAATTAAGGGACAACATTTTGTGCAAAAACACCACAGAGGAGAACGCACCTTCTGGGCTCAGCTGATTGGTTTGCTCCTGGTGATTGTTCAAAGAGCCGTTTACATTCGGGGATGAGGTGTGATGTGACGGAGGGATCTGCAGGAAGAAAAAATAAAGATAAAAAAGAAATGAGTGTTTGGCCTCATGGTGACCTTCGCAACCATAAAACAGTAATAGTTTATTATCAGTGGCTTACATTTGAGTGATTTTTTTAGTTTTCACAAAAAGGACACAATATATAATTCAGCAAAATACACACGGTCATGTTTAAATATTATTCTTAAACTAGAAAAACTCCCTGTGAATGCATGACATTAGGAAATATTATGTAAAGCATCACAAACATAATGCACACTATTCCAAAAATAAATACACTTAATATTTCAGCAGCGAGGTCGGTCTAAAATAAGCTTGTCCTTCAAAATGTACAAGGTGTCAGAGCTCCTGGAATAGATCTCCATATCCACTTATCACTGCACATAAATGAATGATTCATTTGTTAAGAGTGCCATTTCTGCAGAGCACAGCAGCCGCAATTTCAGCATCTTATGGGGACATTTTTGAAATGTCAGCAATAAATGCATTAAAATCAGACAAGTGATCTTTTCCATTATGTACAGCGGTGGTTCTGTACCGTACTGCACAGTAATGTACATTACTTAACATTAAGGATCTATTATTTAGTCTGAAAAGGTAGCCCTCTGGACCAAAGTGGAAGGTGAGGAAGCTTCAAGGTCTCTTTTATGTCTTGATGCATAAAAAAAAGCGTTTTCCTCTGACAAATGCCTTTATCTGTCTGTCTTGGTGAGGATGAATGAATGAGTGAGGACTATCACTCATTAGTCATTAACATCCTTTCTCATTCAGTTTTTCAGAAGAAAAAATTACTCTACTCTACTTTTCCAACAGTGAATTTTAAAGTCTTCAGTAAATCATAAAAACCTTATATCCTGCCAAATTAATGTGGATGGATAAGTCTTTGGCTGGGCTTAGAGAGGAATGGTGCAACGGTGGAGAAGGTTTGCCAGCTGGCTGGATCTTTCAGAAATTGTAGTTTGGGACTAACACACAGCTTACAGAAGAATCCATCAATAAATCAGATTAGTATCTGAAATGCTACCAAAAATACATCACAGAGCTACAACAGTGTGTAGGTCATACAGAACTGTCAGTCAGTGACTTGATAACTTCCCTTGACAGAGATTTATTTCATTTCGTGGTAAGTAGGTCATGTCATCTTGCCTTATCCGCTCCTTTGCAATAAGGCCATTATTAGTGCTAACTTGCATCACTTGGGTTTGAGACCTGAGGTCTCTGAGGTGGCAGACCTGCACTGGAACCAATGAATTCATACT